TTTTCTCTCTCCCCTCCTCTTTTTTCTTTTTCTTTTTCTCTCTCTCTTTTTTTTTTTTTTGCAAAGCTTTATTGCTTTATTCCAGAGGGGCTCAGTCCTTCTTGGCAGCTGCCTTCCTCATGGCGGCCAGCACGCTGCTCAGCTCCTCACACTTCCTCTTGGCGTGAACGTGCGTCCCCACTCTTTTCTTGAACTTGAGGGCGCGCTTGTCCTTGGAGACCTTGAGCAGCTCCATGGCGTGCCGCTCGTAGGGGGCGAAGCCGCACACCTCCCGGATCATGTCCCGCACGAATTTGGTGTGTTTGGTGTGAAGTCCGCGGCGGCGGCGGCTGTGCCTCGGTTTGCTCACATTCTTAGTCACCTTGTGGCCCTTGTTGAGGCCCACGGCCATGGGGTAGCTGAGGGCCATGGCTACTCTTTTTCAATGGTTGCTGTGGCGGAAGGCTTTTCTGTCTTTTTGAGATAGGTTTTTACTGTGCAGTTCAGGCTGGCCTTGTTATGGCAATCCTCCTGACTCAGCTTCCCAAGTGCTGGGGTCATGGGTGTGTGCCACCATACCCGGCCAGTTGTTGGGTGTTTCTCACTCAAGCTCGCACTTGTTTAACTATCAAAAACATATAATTGTTTTTCCCTTTTTGGTACCAAGAATCAAACTCAGGACCTTGTGTTTGCCAGGCAGACACTATGCCACTGAGCTGTATGCCTGGCCCACAAAGATAGTATATAATTTCTTTCCTTATTATATTTATTGTCTAACCGTCCTCCAGGAAAACTCCCAAGAGCAGAGAGCTTGGCGGACTTCGGTCCCACGGAGACCTCGGTGCTCAGCCCATTTCCCGTAGGCACACGCCCTCCCAGGGCCCTGGCGCTCAGGGCTCCTCTGTAATCTCTCTGGGGCTCTGCCTGCAGGCCTTCTCCAAAGCAGCCAGGTGGGTCGGAGGAGCTGGGGTGGTACAAGCCAGCAGCAGTCCCCAGGCACATGACAAGGGAGCTGAGGATTGACACCTGCAAGGGGGACGACTTGGCGTGCACTCTCCGCTGTCACCCAGAGCTCCCCAGCAGGGTCTCAGCCCTGGTGCCCACAGCAGTGAGTGGCTTAGCACCACTCACACTCAGAGCTGGCCGCCTCCCCTCCCTGTCTCTTGCCCCATTCCTCTGTCTTTCTTTCTTTCTTTCTTTCTTTCTTTTCTTTCTTTCTTTCTTTCTTTCTTTCTTTCTTTCTTTCTTTCTTTCTTTCTTTTGATACAGGGTCTCACACTACACAGTGCAGATCCTCCAATCTCAACTTCCCCAAATCTGGGAGTATAGATGTGAGCCACCACACCTGGTTTAGGAGGCCAGCACAGCATGTGGTACCAGGGATTAAACTCTGGTCCTTTCACTTGATAGGCAGGCACTTATACGACTGATCTATTGCTCCAGCATGTCTGTATTTTTGACTCACTTCCCAAATGAACCACTTGCACCTGAAGCCATGTGTTAGAATCTGCTTCTGGGGTCCCCAATCGAAGATGCACCTGGCCTTACACTAAGCATATGACAGTGCCTGGTGCTGACAGGTGCCCTGGAAGGATTTGTTGCTGAATGCTGTTAAGTTAAATAGTCCAGAAATGTAAAAAGGTGGGAAAAGGAACCTCCCAGAGGTAACAGCTATGAAGTTTATCTACTTACTTTTATGGTGCTTGGGATAGAACCTATGACCTTACATAAGCAAGGCAGATGCTGTACCACTGAGCTACATCCTCAGTCCTGCTATGCAGCTTATTTTTCCTCATAGACCTTTACCTACCTGCATACAAATGCGCGTGCATGCACGCATGCGCGCACACACACACTCACACGCACATGCACATATATTTCAGAATTCTAGAACTGGAGTCAGGAACCTAAGCTGTCATCCGGCCCTGCCCCTTGGTTATTAGATGAAAGGAAAGGTAGCTGTGCGTCTGGGCTTGCTGAGAAGGAGACCCGAGATCACTGTATCTGGTGAGCAGCTCCCAGCAAAGAAGCCCTCGGGGCACCCCCGTCCTAGGCATCTGAGCTCCCGTCTGTGCAGAGGGTCCTGTTTTCTAGGCTGTGCAGCATGTCTGCAGATTCCCAGATGCTACCTTGTCCTCTCAGGAGCTTTGGAAGATAGGATGCGGCAGCTTTGGGGACCAGACCCATCCAGCTCCAGCCCTCATCCCAGTGTGAGCACAGGGCTGGGGAGACGGCACCCAGCAGGGAGAAGAGGCGCCTGCCTCTTGTGCTGCTCCTGTTCCACAAACGGCCTGGGGACTTTCTCCTCGAGCTGCCCCTCCAAGTGTCTCTCCTGGGTGGAGAGGTGACTGCCGCAGTGGAAGAGAGGAGGGCAAGCTCAGATGGAACCCAGAAATCTACCGCTGCCTGGCGCTGTCTCATTGTCTCCTTTATGAAAATAATCTAGAAACATTCTGCAGTTATTATAAATAATCATTAGAAAGACTTTAGGATATGAAAAAAAAGCTTAGAGTACAATAGGAAGACAAAAAGGAAATGATAGTTTGCACATTTTGCCTACAGGAATATAAAAATTATGTACAAGGGGCTGGGGAGATGGCTCAGTAGAATAAGCGCTTCCCTGGCAAGTGCAAGGTTCTGAGTTCAATCCCCAGTTCCACCAAATAAATAAATAAATAAATAAATAAATAAATAAATAAATAAAAATTATGTACAAGGGTAGATCATTTGCTAAGGCAGTTTGTCGTGGACAGATGTTTCGTGTTCTATATTTCACTAATGTGGCTATGTCTGTGGCACAAATATTGAGAATGAGTTATTAAG